ACGCATCATTAAGAAGGTTGAAGGGAGATCTAGACGAGAGGATCGTGAGGACAAAGACCGTTAGGAAAGGAGGTACAAAAGGAGATCTGTACTAGCAGAAGTCTTGAAAATGTTTTTTGAACCTCAGAGAGGATTGCAAAGTTTGGTACGGGAAGAAGGATCGTACTTAGGCATTGAATTGGGAAGAGAATTCGAAAATCGAGAACCTTGCAGTCAGCAAAGGGATCGACAAGACGACAAGTACAATAACCTCCAAAAGAACTCCTACCCAAAGAGCATACCAGTGCAGACAAAAGAACAAATTCTGGGTGACTGTAGACTTCCATTCTTCCTCATCCCTCGCTTTCATAGCCCTATTTCTCTCTTTAGGTTAAGTTAATTTTAAGATAGTTTAAGAGTTAGTTAAGTAAAATTTATGTATGTGGTTAGGCTAAGAAAATTATTACATGACTATTCTGCAGGAAAGTTATATTCCCGAATTGTATGAAAACCCAACAAAGAAAAAAATCCCAATGTGATGCACCTCGAATTTTGTAAAGTTTTACAAGAACAGTTGGAATTCTTTATAGAACCTAACCTGTTCGTCGTGAATAAAGAAAGGATTGCGTAACCTAAGAAGTTGTCATGTGCCTTTTCTTTTGTTTGTACATTTCCTTTGCAGGCAACATCACATCACATAATGAACTACCATACAAGGCTGCCTTTAAATATTTCAATGGACTCTAAAAGCCTGATGTGATTTCAATTTTTAGAGGATCTTATGAGCTGATCCTGATTTAGTTTTGCCTCAACTGTCTTCCGAGGCAAACCTAGAGAGCAGTGGTAAATTTTGAATGCTTTATATCACATTTGTATTCCCATATCCTCTATTCTAATGACCTTTTAGCAGCACCAATGTAGACTAGATCCCTCCCAAACCACTCATCTCTTAATGGAATCTTATACACTCCTTGGAGTTTCTGGTGGTTTGGAGGTCTTTCCCATTTCTTAGTATTGAAGAAAGACTGTCACTGTGTTTTGTTTTTATAGATTAAATTAAAAGTTAATACATAAAAAGATTAAATTTTTAAAGCTCTCTTAGGCAAATTCAAAAAATTAAAATATAAGATTTCTAAAACATAAGATGCTTTTTTCATAAAAAGTAGAGAAAATCAAGATTTTGCTGATACTTCAGATTAAGATTGACAGGAAAGCTCAGAAGATGCTGATATTTTGCAAAAGAAAACATCCTCACTTAACAATGCCTAGCAGTGAAGAAAAATTAATATTAAATGTGCAATACATTGTAATTGTCAGTTAATTATTCATTGCTTTAATAAACATATTTCTCTTAATTACAAAAAAACAGTATAATTTTTTAATTTTTTTAATAATTTTTTAAACTGCTTTCAAATTTTTTGAAATGAGAAAAAAACAATGATATAAATAAAAGGACAGAGGAATGTCAAATAACCATGTGGATAGAATGCATTATGATTATTTGACTGATTGTAACCTCTTTGGTTATGCATGCAATTTCCAACAGATGGCATTAAAAAGTAATGTTTTTCTATAAGAAAATGCTTTTCTAAACAAACATTCTGAAAAACACACAGAAATGGACAGAATCCAACAGTTTTTAGCATTAAATTCCTATTTAATTCTTCTACTAATGTACAGTTCAGAATTTTGAAAATCAAATTCACTAATTTTCTATGAATTTTTAAAATCATAGAAAATTTGTAGAATATTAATGAATTTGAGTTCTAATATGAAATAAATATATTAAGTATGAATTATAACATTAAAAAATTGCTTTGTTTCATCTGCTTCTGTTTTCAAGAATGTTTGGAAAAGTCAATTCAACTATTCAAAGTGGGTGTACATAAATACATATAGCACTACACATAGAACCAATATCCAGCAAGAAAATACAAAACTACATGAAAATTTTTCCTTTCAAATGTAATTTTGAATTCTCTTGCTGGATATTGGTTCTGTATAGTACTTATGTTTGGAAAAGTATTTTCCTATAGAAAAAGCACTATATTTTTCTAACACCATTTGCTGGTGATTGCATGCATAAGCAAAGAGGTTACAATCAGCCTTAATGATAATATCTAGTATCATCATTTGCCTGATAAAATTTAATGTTGTGAATTGCAAGAAAAAGTTTTTTCATACAAATTCTATAGAAAAAATTCTATTTACAAAAGTTTCTAAAACAGTTTTACTATTTCTTTTCTATCCTATTCTCTCACTTTTATTCTTTGAGTTGTTAAACTAAGCACTGCTAAGTGATGTTGTCAAACATCACTTAGCAGTGCTTATATGCAAGAGATATGCTAAACTTGTTTTCTAGAAGTGGTGTACACAATAGTCTCACTGGTTCAAGGTTAAATCTGTAGTGCTTGTTTCAGTTACTTTTCTTGCTGCTACAAAGATATCTGCCTCTATGATGGAAAAATTGAATTCTTATATGATGTGATAGTAAAGTTATAAGGTTTTAATCACCATGAATTGATATTCTGTTTGTACAATTTTTCTTTTAAAATACTCAATAGTAAAATAAAATTAGATTTCACAAAATTTGTATATTTAAAACATTTTATTATCTATTTTATGTTGTATAAACTAAATTTAAATTATTAATTTTACCTCCCAAACAAGTCATTGCATTGCAAGAATGAATTAATTTTGAAATATTTCTAATTTTAAATAATTCATAAAACATTCCAACAGCTGCATTGAGATCTGCCATTTTAGAACTGTAGCACTGCTCCATGTAAAGACCTTCAGCAGCACTTTCATAGCAAAAGTAGCAGTGCTACAGAGTTCTGCAGAGAATGCTGAATTTAACAACAAGCTTGTAGTGTGCTTCACACTATATAGTTCTTTATGCATTCAGACCTGTATATACTATATATATACAGGTAGCCCTCGGTTTACGCCGGTTCAATTTATGCCGAGTCACAATAACACCGCTGCGCAATTTGCCGTTTCGAGGTGTAATTCCCTGATTTTCCCTATGCTAGATTAATAGTTTATATAGATTCATTTCAGTGTTGATGTATTTACCGAGCCACAACATTGTACATTCGTTAAAACAAAGATTTTTATTGAATATATTTATTTTTTTCTGTTTAATATTATTGGGTATGTATACATTTGCGTTAAATTAATATTAAAATACTAAACGTTTAGGTACCCATGAGTCAAGATATTAAACTTAATAGTCCAATAAATGGCGTCTGAATCCATAGCGCCATTGGGTATCAGTTCATTCAGGAAAACACCTTACTACGCAATAGCACTTCCGGCAATCACAAATTATCGTTAGTGAGACAAATCTACTTCTCATTGGCCAAATGATATTTATCTCTCCTTAGCCAGCTTGAATTTTCCCGCTCAAACTGACCTTATATATGCGCTACAGCGACCGGTGGTCGACCAATCAGTGTCTTCGCTCGTCTGTAGCTCTACGTCGGGTTAACGTATCCTTTCAACTAAGGAAAGTTTGACGGATGAAGTTTGTGAGTTAGACAATGATTGGGAGTGAAGTGCAAATGTAAAAAGGATCATCATATTCGACCATATTCCGAAATTCTTAATGAAAGAAATCAAAAATGTAAACAATTAAAGATGGATACTTTTTTCCGAAAAATGTAAAAAATTCAAAACTAAAATTTTTAAATAAAAACATTTTACTTTATTTTATGTTAAAATACATTTTAAAGATTAAATTTATATGTATTTTGTATTATATTGTATTAATAAACAAAATTATTAGCTTATTTTTCACTTATGTAGAACCTAACCCTATACCTCACTGTAAATATGGGTTCATTTTATGCCGATTCGATTTGCACCGGCTTTTGTAGGAATGGAACTGCGGTGTAAACCGAGGGCTATCTGACAAAAATACGACAAAAAAAATTATTGTTGTATGTGTCGAAACTATGTCTTCTTTTTATTGTTTGGTTCAATGTCACGACTAGGTGAATTCATAGACACTTGGCAATTTTCATCATCAACTTTCTATTTCAGAACTTTATTTGTCGAGACATGTTTTGGGCTCTAGAGCCCAAAACGCGTCTTGACAAATAAAGTTCTATGAATTCCAAAGTGCCAAGTGTCTATAAATTCACCCAGTTGTGACATTGAACAAACAAAATATATATATATATTTTTTGCTGTGTTTTCCTCTCTGTACCTTCATTTATTCTGTACTATTACCTTCTTTTCAACAGTCTGTACAAAGTCAGCCTCTGGTTTGGCCAATGGAAGTCATGTGGGGGAGGGAGGATAACCTCTCGGGAAGTGCTGGGAAGGTCGTGTGTGAGCTCTTTTTTTGTTTGTGCTTGTGCCCTGCTTGTTGTTCCCACCTGAAGTTGAGAGAGAGGAAGAATGCACATGAAAGTGTGGATGACCATCCATCGAGTGAAAGAAATGCCTAGAGGGAGTGATCAAAAACCACGAGGTCATCATGAAGAAATCCATCCTCATTGGATTGTGTATATTTGTGAATGTTAGGTGAGTATGTACTCAAAGCATAGATACTAGAGAAAAGTTTTGTCTGAGAACATTAAAAATATTTCTTTTGTCATGTTCAAGTGAGTGAAAATTGTTAACCCTAACATGTAACACATCTTGAACCACAAAACCTCCCTCTTTTTTTTTTTTATATCTTCTTGCTCTGTTTCACATGCTTCTTCATCTCTTCTTTATGCATTCAGACCATGAAATTAGCGTTTAAGTATAATTGGTAACCATTATATTGTTGGTGAAACAAGATTTGTCAGGGTAGAAGTGGATTGTAAGTAGCTGATTTGCTATGAGGGTTCTCATTTGTTATATGCTGAGTAACCCTCAAGAGGAGGAAGGGAGAGGAAAGGTGAATCATGTCTTAAGATTGTGTAATGTGAATTATCAAATGTAAAGATTAAAAACCCAGTTTGTTGTTAAGTATACTCGTTCTTTGTTTGTTTGTTCCACAGATTTATGCACTGCTGTAACATCACAAGCTGCTTATCTTCACTTTGAACATGTGCACCAAAAGCTATTTTTACAATTACATAATACTTATTTTTAAAAACTTGAGCACTTAAGAATTTATAATAAATTTGTTGTTTTGTTAATATGGTCATTTATAATACTGAAACCACATCATATAAAAAATTGTTTTAAATTAAAATACCTGGTCCATCCCAAGGCTCCATAGAACAACTGCTCCATCTATAGAACTTTTTCTTTGTTTCATTCATCAATGAGTCATTTTGCCAAGCCTCTGGAATCATTGTCATTACTGCCTATATAATAAAAATAAATAAATTTATTTAAGGTAAAAATTTATTGTTACTATAGTTATTATTTTTAAATGTTTTTTAGAATATTAAATCACATTTTTATTTTTCCATTTTAAGTAAATATTAACAATTAAAGAAAACAAGAAATATGAAAAAGTTAGCAAGGGTTCTTGCACAACTTTCCTATCATTTAAACAGGAAGGAATAATGATAATTTTCAATTACATTATGATATAAAATTTAAATAATAATAAAAGCTTAATTTTTGAACAATTTTGTTGATATATGATAAATATTCTTTTCTGAAAAATAGCTATCTGTTATAGATGCCATCTGTTATAGATTTTATTAAAAATGAGCAACTGTATACTAATTGTATTGTTGTAACAATTGCTCGTCATTTCTGTATACAAGATTAAATTGTCAGTTACAAAGCCCTTGTTTTTAAGCTTCTAGAATGTTCCATCACCCATTATTGCCTGGAGGGGCAATAAATCCAATGGAGGAGCAGGAAAGGATATATATTGACTCATGGCTGAGAAAGCAACTCTCTTTTATTTTCAGTGCCATTATGGGAAGAACACAAAGGCAATCAGCAACAATGATACCATGCAAGGGAAGAATGACAAAAGTTAACTGACTCTGTTCCAATCAAAGTGAGAACCAGGAGAAGGCAGCAATTATGTGACACAAAAATTTGAGGAACTTCTCTTATTATAGTGTCACCTCTCCCCTGTATTTTTCAATTGATTACTGGTGGTAGAATTGTCATGTAAGAAAATTCACGAATTAAACTAATACATAATTGTTGCGAAAAGACAAAATGACTGTAATGGGAACCTAAAGCTTTGTAAATATTGATTACTCTCTGAATATTGTGTGTATAAGATTTGATGTTAACTCAGCTTCAAATTGAGAAATTAAAAACTTACAATGTAAAATAAAATGACTCATTATCATCTTCCAGTTTCCATTTAAATCAATAACTATATTGCTTGTTTCATCTGTTTAAATTGTTAGTTGTGATACTATGTTGATATCTATTATATATAGAGTAAAAAAAAAAACAATCCTTTACTAATTCCTTTACTAACCAGTGCCACTCAATAGATGCCACTCACATGAATAAATCATGCTATCAATGACAGGATTACAATTGTTTTTTTTTCTTAAAGATGCAAAAAATTACTAAATTATAGTCTATTTTAAGATAATTCATTTAATGGTCTCCATTCTAAACAGATAAATTACTGATTATATGTTTACTTGAAATTTATCATAATTTCTGTTATAATTTAAATTATTTTACAACTAGTATGAAAATCAATGCTAATAGATTAAAATCTTAGCAGAAGTATAATTAAGATGGGATATAAATAGTGTATATAACATAGGAAGAATAATACCTCTGGCATTGATCTTTGGCCTACAATTGTTAGAAATTCTAAAACATTATCTAAAGCACCAGAATCTGACGTTCCAGGTTCAACAACAGGATAAAGCTTTGACAAAACCTCTTCAAACTCAGTAGACTTCATTATACCTTCTCGTGCTTGCATCAAATTTATATTACCTCTTAATGTATTAATTTCACCATTGTGTGCAAGACATCTATTTAAATAGTAAACAATTATTTAAATTAAATTTTAAATTGTATTCTAAAATATCTTAAAATTTACAATAAGAATTCTTCTACCTTAATGGATGTGCTCTTTCCCAACTTGGAAAAGTATTTGTAGAAAACCGAGCATGCACTAATGCAAGATAAGTTTCAAATTCTGGATCTCTAAGATCATTAAAATATGTCCATAATTGCGTGGAAGTCAATAATCCCTATGAAATAAAATGTAAAACCTTAATTTTTATTTGTATTATAATATATAATTTATATAACATTACAAAGAATATATCATTACGTAGAATATGTATAAATATAGTGAATTCATAGACACTGGGCAATTTTCATCATCAACTTTCTATTTCAGAACTTTATTTGTCGAGACATGTTTTGGGCTCTAGAGCCCAAAACGCGTCTTGACAAATAAAGTTCTATGAATTCCAAAGTGCCAAGTGTCTATAAATTCACCCAGTTGTGACATTGAACAAACAAAATATATATATATATTTTTTGCTGTGTTTTCCTCTCTGTACCTTCATTTATTCTGTACTATTACCTTCTTTTCAACAGTCTGTACAAAGTCAGCCTCTGGTTTGGCCAATGGAAGTCATGTGGGGGAGGGAGGATAACCTCTCGAGAAGTGCTGGGAAGGTCGTGTGTGAGCTCTTTTTTTGTTTGTGCTTGTGCCCTGCTTGTTGTTCCCACCTGAAGTTGAGAGAGAGGAAGAATGCACATGAAAGTGTGGATGACCATCCATCGAGTGAAAGAAATGCCTAGAGGGAGTGATCAAAAACCACGAGGTCATCATGAAGAAATCCATCCTCATTGGATTGTGTATATTTGTGAATGTTAGGTGAGTATGTACTCAAAGCATAGATACTAGAGAAAAGTTTTGTCTGAGAACATTAAAAATATTTCTTTTGTCATGTTCAAGTGAGTGAAAATTGTTAACCCTAACATGTAACACATCTTGAACCACAAAACCTCCCTCTTTTTTTTTTTTATATCTTCTTGCTCTGTTTCACATGCTTCTTCATCTCTTCTTTATGCATTCAGACCATGAAATTAGCGTTTAAGTATAATTGGTAACCATTATATTGTTGGTGAAACAAGATTTGTCAGGGTAGAAGTGGATTGTAAGTAGCTGATTTGCTATGAGGGTTCTCATTTGTTATATGCTGAGTAACCCTCAAGAGGAGGAAGGGAGAGGAAAGGTGAATCATGTCTTAAGATTGTGTAATGTGAATTATCAAATGTAAAGATTAAAAACCCAGTTTGTTGTTAAGTATACTCGTTCTTTGTTTGTTTGTTCCACAGATTTATGCACTGCTGTAACATCACAAGCTGCTTATCTTCACTTTGAACATGTGCACCAAAAGCTATTTTTACAATTACATAATACTTATTTTTAAAAACTTGAGCACTTAAGAATTTATAATAAATTTGTTGTTTTGTTAATATGGTCATTTATAATACTGAAACCACATCATATAAAAAATTGTTTTAAATTAAAATACCTGGTCCATCCCAAGGCTCCATAGAACAACTGCTCCATCTATAGAACTTTTTCTTTGTTTCATTCATCAATGAGTCATTTTGCCAAGCCTCTGGAATCATTGTCATTACTGCCTATATAATAAAAATAAATAAATTTATTTAAGGTAAAAATTTATTGTTACTATAGTTATTATTTTTAAATGTTTTTTAGAATATTAAATCACATTTTTATTTTTCCATTTTAAGTAAATATTAACAATTAAAGAAAACAAGAAATATGAAAAAGTTAGCAAGGGTTCTTGCACNTAGTTTTTTTTTTTTTATATAACAACATTTTGTTCAATAATATTAATATCTAATTATATTTATAATTAAAGTACCCATAATTAAAACACTCCTATTCAAAGCTGTGTAGAAAGAGATTTACTTGTCCAAATGAAATTAAATCTGTTTGATGACATTTCAAGACGTGGAAGACATTCCCATAAAAATAAAATTAGTACCAAAACTTACCACTATGACACTTTTGATGCAGCAAGAATTGATAATAGCAGTCAGTCACCACCTGAAGCAGACCTCGGTGGAGGTCAAAAGCATTTGTGGAGTTTACTACAGACATAACACTTGTAAAAAAGGGTTTCATGGATTGTTATTATTCAACACAGTGTTAAGTAGTTGGAAGTCGTTTTGTCTTAGCAGTTTCCTTTGCATAAGCACATTTGTTGCAGCCAAGTTCTGGGTATAAAAGTCCACAGCTGTTAAATGTCATTCTTATCATTACAATGACTACAACCTTGACAAAACACATTTTTATGAAACTGTTTTATGAAAACAACTCTATTTTGGGAATTTTGTCATCATAAGAATTTATGAGACTCCAAAAGCTCATGGGAGAATCCTCAAATCAAGTGAGCCCATGAGCAAACTAGACATCTGAACATTCAACCCAGTTAAGGGTGCAAATTTATCATTTTACAAGTTACTGAAGATGTTGCTACAGCTGATGTTGAGCAGCCAATAAATAATGTTGCAGGCAGGCTCCAATAGTGCACATGCAGTGTCATGGTGGTTGCATTATCCTATAATACAGTATGGAATGTACTGTATCACAGATCAGTAAAATCTGATTCTTCCAATACTGTCCTATGGCAGCATTGGATTTTTTGTTGGAATTAATAAGACAGCAATGACAGGCAGACAAATTGCTGTAAGAAGATTCTCTTGGCCTTGGCTAGAATTATGGCAGTAAGTTGATGCATTATTATTCATATAGAATCAGTCACAACCAGCAATTGCTTGCCACTGACAGCAATACCAAATTGATTATTGCATTGACTTTCTTTGCTGGATTGGAAATAGCTATGGAAGAATCTGTGGCTACAAGACACTTTTCACTTCAGAGAAACAATTAACACTCCTAAATATCATATTTGGGCCACATAAAACCCTCATGTTTTCTAGCAGATTCCACTGTAATGAACTAAAATTACAGTCTAGTATGGATTTACAGCCACAACAAAGAAGCTAGTCCCAATGGACCTGTACTCTGTGACAGGGCAAAGATACTGAGACATGCTCAATGTTTTTGTCATACTCCAACTACAACAGTAACAATGCCCTGAATCAACCATTTTCATGACAGATGGAGGACCTTGTCACAGAGGATGCTATATACAACAGTTTCAATGACATGTTACCATTAATCTGAATAATTAGTCATCCATTTTCTACCTCCTCACTGCCTCATTGTCCAGATCTTAATTTGTATGAATTTTTGTTGTGGTTCTTTGCCAGATTGGAAGTGGATGTGTTGTGGTCATGGAAGAGTCTGTGGCTACAAGGCACAGTTTTACTTCAGGGAAATAACACTTTTAAATGTAATATTTGGGCCACAGAAAAGGGAGACACTTAAGAGTGGTTTATCAAGAACATGTTGCAAATTTGGTAGACTTGAGAGACACTGCATGTCAGAAGCATCAGAAAATCAATTATAGTTGGCTATTGAACACACTGTTCATTGCCTGTTCAAAACCATAATCAGGTTTTACACTTTAAGACCTCATCAAACAGGATCCTCTGCATTGCTAAGATCTTGGTATAGTATGAGTATCTTGTACAAATAAAATATTTGTTGATTGTAGTGCCAAAAGGGCATAGTGATAAAGTTTTTAATATTTTTTACAGATGTGTCTTTTGCATATTCTGAAACGTCTCTACACCAGATTTGGTTGCATCTGAACTGCTAAATATCTCTCTAGATAGCATTGAGTAGAAGTACTTAAATTAAGGTCACCTGGTATAATTAAATAATTTTAATAATTATTTACTCTTACAGAATTAAGGTAAAGAAGGTACAGATGATATAGAATTTACATTTCACACCTTGTTTCTTTAAAAAAAAATCTTGTTTGAAAATTTTTAAATGTGAATTCTGATTAAGAACCTGAATGCTCCAACAACTGAGTCTTCTTGTTCTATTTTTAAAGTCCAAAGCACAATCTGATGCTGAGATTAGGAAAGCTCCTAAAACATTTGTTGTCAATCTTTCTTTCTTGACTTAAAAGTAAGCAGCTATTTATTGATTATTATAAATATAAAAAGATTAGCATTCGTTCTTTTTATTTTGAAGTTTTCATTAAAATTTCCATTCCTTCATTACAATAAAAAAATTTAACACTTGAAAATATAGATTTCTGTTTTATTAACATAATAATTATCAATTTGATTCATTAAAATTACAAAATTCATATTAATAAAATAAATTTTTATGCTACATTTTCAATATTATAAACATTAAATATAGAATTATCAAACTAACTTTATTCTAACTATTAGCATTTTTAACTAAAAATTACAGGTTAGTCAAAGTAGGTCTATATGATTTTTTGAAGAATTATGATGGTTAATGTTACCTATGGTGACTAAAATGGCGGCGCTTTAGTTAGGTTTGTTTCATTTCGGTTAGATTAACTATATTTTTAGTAGACGTTTCCTTCCTTTATTTTTTTACTTTGTTCAAGAACTACTGTAAATCAATAACTAGTGACATTAAACACTCGGCAGCCTGCCGGTGGCTTCCCTCTGGGAGGTCCGTCGGGAGCATGAACAGTCAGAAGCGTGGTCATTTTAGTCACCATAGGTAACATTAACCATTATGACAAATCATCACATTTATTTGAATGTTTTAGGATACATATTTCCATTCTTAAAATATGTCAATGATGTTTTATGTTATTAATACTATTAATGACATTGTATGAATGAAAATATGAATGAAAAATAAAATGAAATAATTTATTAATATACACAGTATTTTATTTTCATATTTTCCAAAAATAATGAAAAAATATATAAGAATAAATTGTTCTACATATTGAATATAATTAATTATAAGCTCTTTTTTTAAATTTGCTTTCATATTTACCTGTTTTTTAAAATCATTTTGTTTCATTTTTGGACCAATTATAAACACTTGTTGCATGTAGGGTTCAGATGACTGAGCTACTTTTCCCAATAAATTATCATTGGTCTCAATACATCTCCAATGTATAACCTTGATTTGGAAAAAGTATCAAATTAATTAATTAAACTATTGTAGTTATTAATTTTCTAAAATATAATCATTATAATTATTAAAATAGTTACTAAATTTCTTAATATATATGATTTCTATCTGATGTAAAATTTGAAGAAAAACTTCATTAGATATGAAATATCATATCTAACAAAAATTTTTACTGTAAAAGTTTGTCTAATGGAGAATTATTTCTAATAAAATTGTAAACAAAACTGTCCAAAAATGGGGGCATCTTTTCTAAAAATCTACATATTCCAGCACCAACTTTTAGTAGATAAAAAGCAGAGGAAACCCCAAAAGAAGGTATAGATGGAAGTAAGCAAGACAACTGTATGTCACCAGTTCCTTTTTCAGAAATTTTTAGAAATTTTAATTGAAAATGTTTTGTGTTTTTTAACAGGACTTTTTGTAATTTTTCCGGCGACAAGTAGCCTAAAAAGAAAGGTCAGTCGCCGAAAATGTGTTAGTCTTGGAACATAAAAAGTAATAAATGGTGATCCTTTTTGGACAGTTTTGTCTACAATTTTATTAGAAAAATTTTTAGTTCCTGGCAATCTTAAAAATACAAAATCAAAACCGTAAAGAAGCATATACCAATTTCATGAATTATTTAAAGAAATTATTGTTTAGACCAGGGGTGGCCAACCTTTTAAGCAGGCGGGCCAAATTTCAGAAATAATATTTCATGCCGGGCCACGCACCTAATTTTTTTTTTTAAATTAAAGTAAACAAGCAAGCGTGCTACAGCTTCAACAGCATCATTGCTTTCCAGTAGGTGAGATCGTGGTCAAACACTTGCCTGGTTTAATGTAAAAAAAAAAACACAAAAAATAGGTATATTTATTTTTTTTGAAGAAAATAAAACAAAACCGAGAATCATTTATTTAATAACCGAGAAACATATTTATTAGACAATTTAAAAATATTTAAAAGTGAGACATCTGACTTTGTTTTACAGAACTAACAAGTAAGTGCATCAAAATTGATCTGGACTGATGTAGTCGCTACACGCAAACAGTTTTCCAAATGAACATCAGTAATTCGTGTTCTCACTTGTGATTTGATGTACTTCATACGACTAAAAAGTTGTTCACACGCATAAGTGTTTCCAAATAGCGAAACCATTGACAGAGCATGTTTGTAAAACGCAAGATATTTATCCTTGTCCAAATACGTTTCATAGAACTCTTCCAAACCTTCTTAACTCTTCTAATGTTCATTTGGTGATATGTACAATAAAGTTAACATTTATGTTCATTTGACCTAGCTCCGCGGGCCGCAACACGACTCCCGGCGGGCCGCATGCGGCCCGCGGGCCTCATGTTGGCCACCCCTGGTTTAGACAAAAGCATTTATATTTCATCATATTCCAAATACATACAATAATTTGTAATGCATCAGAATTATACTTTGACATTATTGACATTATAAATTAAAAGTATTTTGTAATTTTAATTCTTAAAAAATACTGAATGAAGAAAAGTACTCCATTTTTCTCTAAAAGAAATCATTTCATTTTGATAATGATCCATATAATGAATCTAGATACTTAAAATATTTCAAAGAAAGACATTTCTTTTTCAATCTGGAGAATATATTAAATAATCATAAGAAACAATTTAATTACATTCAGAATATAATTTTTTTTTATTCTTGTCAATGGATAAATATGTAACAATTGCTTCAATTCTATAATAAATTATGATTATGAAGTAAAATATTATCATGTCAATATATAAAAAAAATGTCAAAGCAGATTGTAATTGCAATTATAACTTATCATTTCTGAAAAGTTAATCTCTGAATAAATATTACATTCATAGATTAATGTTATATAAAATCAAGTTATTAAATTTGCATCAACAGCTTTGAAACTTCAATTATCATACTGAATATTAAAAGAATTCATAATTTACCTTCAAACCATATTTTTCTGCTAAATTTTCAAATAATGTTTTGGAAGTTTCTGATGAATTTTCCTCCATAAAAATTATTCCTGTAGCATATTCTCCCAATGATGGCAAATTTACATCAGAATCATTTCTAAAAACAGAGAAAAAGTAATAAATAAAGAATAATCTAATTAGTAATTTTTGCATGCTATTTTCCACCAATTTTAAATACTAACTTCAATCTTTTTGTATAGAATGAATGAGGAATTGCTGTCATAATTCCAGCTCCATCTCCTGTATTGTTATCACAGGCGCACGCTCCTCGATGCTCCATCCTTTCAGAAATAGTTTGGGCATCGCGTAGTAGCTAAATTTAAATAAATTTTAAAAATTAATAAAATAACTGTTACATATTGATAATTGTGAATTATCATAGATTTAAAAATAACCTGATGAGAAGCTTTTCCATCTATATTAACAATGAATCCAACACCACATGCTTCCTTCTCAAATTGAGGATCATAAAGTCCTCTTGCAAGTGGTAATCCATAATTAAATACCATTCTAAATCCTACAGAATATTAAAAAGTTATTAGAATAATCTTTAAATATTTGTTAACTGACATTATATTTTCTACAAATGAAGTTTTGATATATAAAATTGATTAATTGGTAGACTAAGTACTGTCCATAAGTTATACAACTTAACAATGATGATTTAATTAATTTGTGAAATTTTATTATGATATGCTTTGATGATTTTATGATAATGATGATATAATATGATTATGTTAGTATGCTTAGTGCAACTAAATTTATATTCATAACATTAATCCTTTACAGAATAGAATTTTATGTTATTCTATTCTGTAAAGGATATATATTGTTCTAACAAGGAATGAGTGTAATATGTGCAGCATTTAAATCAATAATTTATGTATAAACAAATTATTGATTTAAATGCTGTTTATATGTAAAATAAGCATTTGCATACTCTCTTTAGTATGGGGAATAGCTGGAGTGTTGTAAGAAAAATGCTAATTTTTAAATAAAAATTATGACTTTCACTGCAGTTATTACAGACAGTGATTTTTCTAGTTATAATTTATTTCCTCTCTCTGTCTTACTTTTTCTTATCATCCAGAATGTCTTTTTTATTTTCCACATCACACCATCTTTGTTTTCCACATCACACCATCTTTTATTTCACACATCACACAAAACCATCTTTGTAAAATCTCACAAATCTCAGAGAGCTATCTGGTTTCTTTTCTTGAGAAAGTTCATATCATACGGTCTGTATATTCTTAAGTGACGAATCAGATGTTTCTTCTTTTTGGGCAAAGAAACTGTAGCACTGCTCAATAATTTAGTCTAATTGTAAAAGTAACTCATTTCCTTCTGATGATGAGTCATAATTGATTTAACTGCCAACATAAGGGAACTAACATTGCCAGACTTGAAAATGCAATTTATCATATCTGCCATTTAAAATTATCATATTTGAGCTAAAATTCTTATACCTACACCAACATACAATTACTGTAAATAAAAATATTAATCTTGGTTCTTTCCCAATTGAATGAATCCGAGAAGGTCGTTCGGTCGTTTGTAATAAAATGCATACAATATTGTCGGCATATACCATATATCGGTGTTAGACTCGTTAAATGAAGTGTTTACGTGAAAATATCAAATTCTTTAAAAACATTGACAAAAGGATAAAGCAGCCTGTCCACTGACACTGCTAGTCAAATGCATACTTGCCAACCATCAGCATACAAAATGCTGATGGTTGGCAAGTATGCATTTGACTAGCAGCTCAGTTTGACTTTAAAACTCAATTGAGGAGTGTCATAAAAGTATGCCACAAAAGCATATCCAAGAGAAAGTGCATAGCCTTTACAGCTCATGGCCAGATCATAGCAAGAGGTGTTGTCAACTTCATACTAATGCTGAAATTTATTCCCTAGAGATCATACTTCAGATACCCATTTGAAAGAATATTCAAATCACTATAAAGAATATTAAATTTAATTTAAGTACCAAGTTAATTAATAATATAAATGATTTCAAATTTAACATGAAAAAAACTGAAAATTAGGAATAATTTTGCAGTATATAGATCTATTTGTAATAATTAATTTAATTTTAAATTAAAATTCCACGAATATATGCAAAAACTGTTAAACAAGGAATGAAATTTTAATACTGAGCTTTATAAAATGTTTTACCTTACATGAGACATTAAAACAACCGCTATAGTTAATATTAATACACTCTGCAAGAAGAGCTTTCTTCTTCCAATCTCGAATCAAACAATACTTCGGAGGAAGAGGAAAAAATATCAACACAACAGGATTCGAAGAGATCAAACAGCTCATCGTCAAAATAAGACGTACAATGGAAAAAATGACTACAAATCAACCAAATCAAAACTGAATACTCGGCGACGACAGGAAATTTTTCATGGACATTCTGTCCCTTATACTTATATGGAGACAGACTGAATCATTCCCTCCCAACCTGCTCGAGCCAGAACCACGTGGTCGAACCCACGATGAGCTTGATTAAAATTTTAAAATGGCATTCAAAGTGTCAACAGATTACGGAGAAACTTAAATTGAATTTCTTGAGATTCTTAATTCCTTTAATTGTTATTTTAGCAAAAAAAAAAAAAAAAAATTAGGTTGGGCTTCTATTGCCGACCGCTTCCAGTAGTCGACCATCTAAACCAGTGTTTCTCAACCTCTAACGAATCGTCTCCCCCTTCTATAAAACCGTTACGTAGTATCGCCCCCTTCACTTCAAAATTCCGATGCCGAGGGCCAAGGCTAACGCCAAATTCGTAGTGCATTGAATAGACTAGTGACTAGTATAATGTTATTTGTTTAATTATTGTACGATATAACGAATAAAATATCTAATTAATCTTAATATAATGTTTTACTATATCGCCCAGAAAATTGTTTGTCGCCTCCCAAAATATAAATTGTTACTAATCGCCCCCTCAACATGGAAAAACGCCCACATGTGAGCGATATCGCCCCCGTTGAGAAACACTGATCTAAAGGAAACCGTGCATAATTAGTCAATTTGAACAGTTCTAGATGAGCTATCTTTTCAGGAAGCATCATATAATGATCCCATTCTCAATGGCATGTAAAAATAACAGGTTGCTTCACTCACGGGAATTGGAAAAGTTATTGCGAAACACCTTTTCTAGTAGTCGACCACGTAAGGTATTGTCAGGTCTAAACGATAAAAAAAAGTTCTGTGTTTCAGGTGCGTATTTTCGGAGGCCAAGGTAGCAGCCTACTGCTCTTGGGGACCCGGGATCGACTCCGGGCGGGTCAAGAAATCCCCAGGAATTTTTCGGTGGGTGGTCCGTTCGGATATGTCGGGCCCCGCCCCTCACCACCCAGAAGCCCCATTGTGGGCCTGGCCGAACCCATAATGGGCTTGCAAAAAAAGAGCCCTCTTATTGCCCACAGGGCGGAAAGAATTAATAAAAAGTGCGTATTTTCTACAAAATGCCTATTATTGAACTCGATTACTTGTTTTTGTGGGTGGTAAACTATCTTTTTTTTAAATTAAATAATAAAAACTTAATAAATTTAATAAAAACTATCAGAGCCGCATCAAGTTCTGAAAAATACAGTCCGATTCAAATCTATCTCCAGCAATTCCATATACATTATCACATGGAAACGTGTCTTCTGGCATTTTTCGTCATTTGTATTGGCCATGACCAAGTGGTACAAAAAAGAAACGTGAACGAGAAGAACGTCCACCATTTCTATTGCATCCAATTTATGGAGAGAGATCATATTACAAAAGGAAAGAGCAAAAGCAAGCAAAACAGAAGAAAAAGAAAGGAAGGAAATTGAAAGACAAGAAAAACGCTGAAAGATTTTCCAGGAAATGTAGTGGCAGAGGGGAGAAAACGCAGAAGAGTTCTTGCATTACTATATACAAATTTGAAGTTAGGATCACTGAGAAGCAAAATTAAATACCATTTGAAATGTTCACCAATAGGTTCCTGATACCGCTTTTGATAGGCCGGATGGCCGAGCGGTCAAGGTGACAGCCCACCGTTCCGGGGAACCCGGACGGGTCAAGAAATCCCCAGGGATTTTTCGGGGGTGGTCCGTTCGGATATGTCGGGTCCGTCTTTTACAACTGGCACAAGCTTTTAATTGTAATTCTTATTTACAGACAAGTAATTAGAGGCATGTGTAAAATTTTAAATTTCCATCGAATTTGAAGAACACATCCAGAGTATCACGTTTTATTTGCTTGTATATACTGAATGTAAAGTACTTATAAATTATTTTAATTATATTGTATAAAACAAACGGATTTATTTACATTTTTATTTTCATCAATACAAATTAACAAAGTATACAACTTGACACCTTATAGATTTTTTACATTTGGCACATAGATTCGGAAAATAGTTTCAAAGTGAAATTAATTCTGGAAAAAATAATTTGTAATTACAGTCGACCCCCCTATAACACTGTTGATTTTTCCGTTTTATATGAATTCCATGTCGTACGAGTCACTTAGATTTTACAAATACGTGTGCCGGGCTGTGAACGGCTCACGTGTTTATAAAATCTAAGTGACTCGTACAACGCGTGGAATTCATATAAAACGGAATAATCAGCAGTATTATAGGGGGGTCGACTGTATATACAAATTGTTGATCATTTTAAATATCGCTGGTGGTGCATAAAGTTTAAATATTTATAAATAGCAATTAGAACTCTAAGCATAAATAGATACTGAAAATTGACGTTGATTTTTGGTCACTAATATTTTTTATATAAAATTAATTTGACCGAAAATAGTATAAAATTCCATTTCGGTTTCTCATTCAGCTACAAAATCCTGTTTCGGGCAGAACTTACCTGTATTTGAAAGATGTAAGGATACCACATCCAATAACCAAAGTAATGCATCGATACCGATATCGGTATCGACAGTATCGGGATGTCCCTAGGCTTACTTTTTTAAATTAATAATCCTAGAGATAATTGTTAAATTTTGTAGTTTAAAAAGCTTTTATTTAAAGATAATTCGAATCGATAATTTACTTATCTTTACATAACTTTACATATCTTTAGAGCTAGGGACGGACTAGCCATTGGGCAAATGCCGAAAAGGCCTAGACCAAAATAAACCGGTACCGTTAGAAAGTGTACACGTAAAAGTGTTGTTTGTTGAAATATCCAAGTACAGTATTATTTATTAGTTATATTAAAATGTAATTGATTTTACAAATACTTTCCAGTTCGTTTTATTTTACCACCTCCTTCATCTTTTTTTTTTTTTTAATATTAATATCTGAAACTAGTTAGTAAAGTGGGCGAGTGGTCCTGATGTTTCCAGACTCGAAAGCACGTTCCAGTCCGCCGCTGTATACATTATAATTTTACAATATATATATATTTATTTATTTATTTACACATTGTATAATGAAACATAACTAAACTAACCGAAACAGATTTTCATGCGAAGTATTAGATTATTGTACCAGACACGTGTATATCCAATAGCTAAATAAATACCCTATATTAAATGGTACAATTATTTATAAACAATAATTATAGCTAATTTATATAAAAACAATCTTTACTCGCGATAAAAGTTTACTAATATTGAGAAGTAACTTATTATTGCATCAATGCTTCCGCACTTTTACTCGTATTTTCAGTGAATGCAATTTGAGCCACGGAAACCTTTTTTTTTTTTTTTTTATCAAATTAGGAATTCTTATATTGATTTCTCAAATGTAAATTCTTATCACTAAATTTTGTTTAAAATGTATTTCATTCAATAAATGCAAAATAATATAAAGTAGGCTACTCTATTCATCACGTGTTCCTTGTCAACTTTAATCTTGCATTATGTTAACAAATAGGTTAAAATATATATATAATCAGATATAATTTTATTTATTATTCTCTAATTTTTAATACAGACATTTATTTAATCGTCTGCAATCAAATATATTAGAATAAAAGTGAAGAACCAACGGTAAATAAACAAACAGAGATAAATAAACTGATAAAATAATTTAAATACAATACTATAATTCATTATTATGCCAGTTTATTGAAGATTCTATAGATTTTATTTATTCATTTAACTTTAAAAATATATAAATAATTAATTAAGATTATATAAGTCCTGTATATAATATCAGTTTTGTCAAAACAGTATTAAATGTTGAGGAAATGTTACTTTAAATATGAAAAATCTTTGTATTAGCCTTTGTAAAAATATACATTTTAAGCTTTTAATTTAATTATTTCTTATTAGTAATATTAAGAAATCTTATATACACTACCTACAAAAGTAAATTTTAAATAACATACCTTTTAAGAAGTTTTAACTTCCTTCAAAATAATTAGAAACCGCTCGAAGGGGTTATCAGCGGTCGACCTAGATTTATCAAAATTCAACGTTCGGTCAATGTACAATATGATTGATAGTTTCAAAAATAAAGAATAAAAAAAAAAATGCTATATTAATTTAAGAATCTCTTACTAAAATTTGTATAAAAAATTATATTAAATTCTATTTTTATACATTTTATGTAATATAGAATATTCAAATTATAAAATATAATATAAAAAAAGATAAAAACAATTTTTTAAACCAATTTAATTGCAAACAATTAATCTTCTTTTTAAATATTAATATATAGAAATACTTCTATTAAATAATTTATTATTTTGTATTTATTACAATTGTCCAAAACTTCTTTTGAAATTAGATATACCCGGAAAGTATTGAGACAACGAATTAAAATACAAGAATAGTATTTTTGAGAGTAAATTATTCTGCATGGTATCTAATCAATTGTAAATACTAATTAATTAATAAATAAGCAGACTTACTCGAAATCTGTGAACGGCGACAAACTGTCTACTCTGTTAAATGAACGTTTATTTAAATAAGAAATACCCTAGGCTATAGAAACTAGTTGTGGAAATCTACACCTCTCGTAACAAAAATTCTTAAGTGCAAAGATTTTTTATCTAATAGCGATAACGTGTAGCTGTTATAAAAATTAGATAAACTTGCTTCTGGAATTATTTAATGTATAAAATTTATAATATTCTTTGTAATTAAATCACGACATAGTTTATTTAGTGTATAAAAAATTTGCATAAGTACAACAGATCCGGGAAAGTAATAAGAACAGTATAATCAATAGTAAAACTATATTGTTATTGGAAGCCATCTTACCAGAATGCTTCACAAATCGGTTGCAGAAACACAAATCCACGCAATTTTACACCAGTGTGAAAACGATTACCAAAACAGAACAGTTGCAACGGAAAATCGCATCAGCCTGTTTTCCGCATTTCAATTGGTTATTGTGAAACAGGTTTAACGCAGATTTCGCATAAACCGATAACGTAATATTGTACAGTCGACCCCCCCCCTATAAGATCATTGATTTTTCCGTTTTATCTGAATTACATGTTGTACGAGTCACTTAGATTTTACAAATATGTGAGCCGTTCACAGCCCGGCACACGTATTTGTAAAATCTAAGTGACTCGTACAACATGTAATTCAGATAAAACGGAAAAATCAACGATCTTATAGGGGGGTCGACTGTAATGGGATTTTGATTGTAATATTCCTAAAACACGACGCTATGAAATATTACCTTAAAATTGTCATTTTGATAAAATTCGAAACAAATTCGATATTTAAATATTCTTTCATTTTTTTTTTTTTGATTGTATCAGTTTAAATTTT